GAAAAAATCTATAACTGGACCAAGTAATAGAATTACAATTGAGCATCAAAAAGCAACTAGCTTGAGTACACTTACAAAGTCTCCCAAAACTGTGGCTAAGTCGTTTTCTCAGCTTTTGTACTCTACTAAGGGCTCCTCCTTTCTTCTCCCGCATTGTCACGGACCCTGTGCATAATAAACATAATCTATATAGTATCTATACATTTAAACATATATCTATGAATTCAAATATTTATATATTTATTTGCTTATATTTTCAATTAGAATATATGATTTAAAGAAAAAGCCTGAAAGACATTAACAGCTGTAATAGCTATCTACTTTAAACACCAAAATGTTGTCAGTCTGACACAATTATGATAGGGTTGATAGCTACTCGTCTGACAGTGTACAGTTTGGCTTTTTCCTTAAGATGCAAGCTGTAATGTTAACACAAATGTATATCTTAGACAAATATTAAAGATTAATATTATCAGTGCGCAACAATGCGATGTGGACTACTATAATTATTATATTGATAATAGTTTTTTTCTTCCTATCAATTGCATAGACAAGTACATTGTCTGACAGCCATTTGTACCAACAATCAACTAGAAGAGTCAAGAAATGGTTAATTGCCTGCAGAAATGTTTATGACGTTAGTCTTTATTTTAAGCATTATACGTAGAAGCATGTACGTTCAATTATCAATGGTACAATGAATACAATTGTCTGCCTCACTGACAAACCTGTATCATCAATGAAATTAATGACAGCTAATTGGACAATGTGTAACATCAACTAATTATAGAAACTATGAACAAAATAATGAAAATAACATGAAAATAACACTTTTGTAATTGTTCTATACGTTTGTAACATACCCATTAGCCATTTCTAATGGAATCTTTTGAAAACGTGTAACCTTCATTCCAATAGCAAGAACTACACTTATATACTGTGCAAATATGAACTCCATTATCAAAAAGCAATAAGACGCTAGATATTTGGCAAATACTGAACTCACATATTATCATTCTTATTTGTGTGCACTATATAGGATGTTCCATGCAACCAGGACATATTTGGTTAAGGTTTACGAACATATAACATGATAGAATAATACACAATATCTTTGCAAATATGTAGCGAACATTAAAATGAAGTTAAAGATTGAAATAACTTTTGTATTAATAATTTCATAGTATAAGTACCTTACTAAAAAGAAGAGAATAAAAAGGCTAGGAAGTGGGAATTTTACACTCTCATTATACTACAGATTTCCATACATAAACAATTTGATGTGTATATGTAAATATTACATCCCATTAACCAATTAGCTGTTGCAATCTTTTTGAAAAGTGTGTAAGTTTCTGTAATTATACTGTATATATTTGATTTTCTTCATATTCTGTTTAAATAAAATACTTTCATAAAATATATAATTTAATAAAGAATATCAAAATATACATCTACCTTAAGTAGTTAGCTGTTTTAGACGAATATATCCATTATGAAAAAATGAAAATATTTGATGTTATGACGAGTATACTTGTCAAAAACAACTAACTGGTTAATACCGTTGAAGTTACGAACAGCTTTGGCTATAATAAAATTGCGAAAAGTGCGAATGATTTCTTAGTAGTTAACGCAAGATTGACGTTCGCTAATATCTGGTCATACAATTTTTTCTAGAAATGAAAAGAAAAATTGGGTTATAGTGAGTTAAAAATACAACTTGTCCCAGTTGCGTGGTACACCCTGTACGATGCGTATACGCGCATCTAATATACGTATGTAAATACGTATGTATACATATGTATATACATATATATATACATATATGTGTATGTATATATATATATATATATATATATACAAACATGTGAGTTGTTGTTACAGGTCAACGAACCAACAAAAGTTTAGTTAAATGTGTCAAGTAACGATAAATAATTTACGTTCATAATTTTTAGACTGGCTACTGACTCCACATCCCGATTCACGGTGTTCCGCATGCTTCCCCGTACACAAAAGCACTTTCCTCCATTCATGCATCTGTCGCTTTCTAAGAATGACGTTTTCACGACAGTGGGACGGAACAGCAATTAATAATCCGCATTGAAGACGACGATTCACAGAGCCTTGATACGCGCGGTCTTGTAGGATCAACAAACTTGGATCCGCGAGCGAAGGTTCGACGAAAGAGGGAAGAAGAAAAAAAAGAGAACCGTTTCGTCGAGAATGCACACGATCTCGCGTACGTTTCTCTCTTCGAAATGCGTACTGCTGCTCCCCCACCCTTACGGTTTGTAAACGACACACTCTCCTCGGCTCCCTCTTTGCCGCACTCCGATGGGCCAGTCACTTTGTCTCTCTTTGTCAGGCCAACGTCCACCCCCACGATCACGGAACTTTTGACACTGTCCAACCTATTCGATGCTGTGTGCGTCTCGCACGGGACCACATGTGCGACGCAGAGGGACCGAAATCAGCGAACAGATTCGCGTAGGAAGGGTAAAAACGAAATGAGCGGCGCGGCACCGAGGACATAAGTCCGTAAGGCTGCGGAAAATGAAAAGGGGAGGGGAGTGGAAGGGGAATGAGCCGAGTGAATTACTTCTAGTAGCCGGAGCTGCTCGCGCGGGCGTCAACTTACCCTCTTTGCTCTTCGAGGCGGTCGAGCCCTTGTCTTGACAGTACATGATTACTCATTCGCTCGCACGCACGAAACACATCACATATGGGCGGTGACGCACTCTGTGTGTGTGTGTATGTGAGTGTGCTCGCGCGTGTGTATGTATGCAAGAAGCTATGTTCCGTGATGCTTCTCTCGGGCAGGTCAGGTCCGGCGAGCACCACCTTCACCTTTCTCGTATCTCGTACATCGGCGGTAGCGCACGACGCCTTCCTAACGAGCTGATCGCCATGAAAAACACACTGTCGTTCCCACCGTTTGCCGTTCAAGATCTCGCGCCTTGAACTCTGGCAACGATACGCGCCACCGATATTCCTACAGTTGAACTTCACCGAAAGGTTCGGACCTTCCCCTCGGACTCTACCTCCAGGAACGTAAATAACCTTTCTGACACTGAGGTTTTTCTATTCGCGATCCCCTGGATGTACGGCGGGTGCTCGCGCACGCCACCACTATCTCGAACAATTCATCCGCGAGAATAAACTTCTTCCAAGAAGTCTTCTTCCCACGACCGGACTGCCTCGCGCCACAGACAAAAGTCTGAACTGGCCGAACCACATTGGCCCTAGTGTACATGGCTTGGGATAGTACGGAAACTCGAGCGCATTTCCGCGAATCCTTGATGGACGCTATCAGCCATTATCTCACTGTAATTTAACATTTTACCTACCGGCAACCTATTAATATTTCTATCGACGACTATGCTACATCTAAAAGTATCTCGTAATGATTTTATATTAATCGGCAATTCCTCGAAAAATTGCTGGACTCTATTTAAATTAATATCGTTATTGAAAAATTGATTAAAACACCCTCGGCGATTAATAGTTTATTTGTTAACACTAGAACGACCGACCTTTAACAGTGACCAGTTCAAAAGTATTGGTTTTTCGAAACTAAGACCGCATTTATACAAATATGTAGTACGATTTTTATTACAAAATGTAGCCAATAATTATCTAGAAAAGCATCTTTACAATTTTAATAATTATAAAATAAGGAATCTGGAATCCATTACTTTGACAGGTTCGGATGTTCCAGCATTAAAGACTATCAAGCTTTTACCAGCAGCTAGACGCGTTGACAGGGAATTATTATTAATATTATATATTATTAATTCTTCAGGTTTTATACGATTTTTCTACCCTCCCTTAGCTTTTGCAAACATTCCCATCATTTTACTACGCATCCAATCTACAGTGAATCCTGTCTTAGCATTAAATCATCAACCAACCGGAGCAAAGTAATTTCTACTCCTATTCTTGCTAATGAAGCGCGCTGCGACCGGCGAGTCTTGCAAAACTTAAGATATTACTGTATGCAGTCATTTATAAAGAGTTCATACTCAACGAGATCGAGGGAGAGTTTAGTTATCTATTTGTTACATGTGATCGCAGGCGTAACAATTCTGTGACGTCAAACGGCCGTGTACGTTCTTATCTTGTAAATTCGATAGTTTGTATTGTATTGAACAATTATATTCGTTTATGTTATGTAAAACACAACAGGTATGATAAGAAAATATGGGAAAGTTATCTCGAATTAGTTGAGAACCTATTACAACCAAATGAGATCAAGAGATTAATAAACAAGAAATAAATATTTCATGTGATAAATTAAGGGGATTGTGATAACAAAAGTTAACCGGATACAGATCGTTAAAATTGTATTTTAAATTACATAGGACTTTCGCGCCTTTGCTCAGTCGGTAAGGTTGCTGCAAGTTAAAATTTCTCTAGAGCGCTGGAGACGAGGTGTTTTTAACCTAGCGATACAAAAATGTGCCTTTCAATCATATAGTGCAAATATATCCTCTAAGTTTTCAAAATAGTCAAAGTTGAGTCTAGGATAAAGTAATGTATATACAATAGTGCTCTGATTGGCTGATGCTTCACAACTAAACAATATTGTTTAATTGTAGGAATGATCGTCGTTTCAAGACATTGGCAAATACATTGGACGATATGGTCGAGAATCCTATGAGACAATAGTACAAGTCGAATATCGCGCTGAGCGAATAGAGTGAGACCATAAGCACAGTAAAGTGAACAAGCTAAATTGGTCGACTATATAACTTGTTTCTTTTGTGATTGTGCTAATGTCGTGTTCTCTTGCTCATTCGTCACTTCCTCTTTTTGCTAAAACTGTGAGAACAGCACTATTTAGCTGTGAAGCTTCAACCAATCAGAGAAAAGCAATTTCTATACCTACCCTTATATTTCTGAACGCTTTGCCCCAGACATTGGACAGTATGCCGACGCATTACTGGAATTCTCTTTTGCCCTCCATTGCCTCCGCATGGGTTCATGAGAGTATTTCGAAGGGGAAGAAATGATTCACTAGAAAACAGCACTACTGTAGTCAAATAAAATAAAATAAAATAAAAACTAAAATCACTATACCTGTGTTTATTTGGTACAAACAGATAGTGAAACGTCTACATCTTTTGACGTTACATCTCTTCAATAGAGGGGTTGAACGTCAGTTTGTTTCGTGTTGGAAATTGAAAATTACGTTAATATTATCTATTATGTTATATTAGCAATAAGGTTATCGTCTATTGAGCGGTGAACTAAGCAATTTAATCACATTTTAAATTAATGAAATATTCGTAAAGAAATAAATTTATATATCGATGGTCGTTAGGATTTAATGAATAAATGTAATTATGAGATTTATAAATAACATTTCTTTACGATTACAAATTGAATACTTTGTTCATGGATCGTCAATATTTGTTACTTCATGTTGTTATGCTTTAACGATAGATTATAGTTGCATATGAAGTACTATACGAAGATTAGTTTTTATGAAGCTCAACAGAAATGCCTTGCATTAATAAGGCTGCTTAACATCAAACACAGATTTTATTTCAACGATCAGTGGGAAATAGTAATTAATGATAATTCATAGTCCACATATGCGTTATTTAAATATATATATATATTATTTGTTGGTTCATCCAAACCGTGAGGCAATTTATATTTGGCGCGTTTAAAATTCGCAGTAAGGAAATATGTACATACATACATACATGCATACATACATACATACATATATACATACCTACGTACAACGTGATTCAGTATTTTTTTCATTACATATCTTTTCTCTTTCAAGTTGCGCATGCGTTTACAATGCTTATCAGCGTTCTCGTGTAACATGTTTCTACGTAGTTGTGATAATCAGTTTTGAGAGGGTCTGGTCGGTCTGGTCGGTCTACGTCTACACTGTCGACAGGAAGGGAAAGATCAATTAGAAGACGGCTTTCAAAATATTTGGCTGTGCACGACTTTTCCGGGTCGCAATCCAATATCGAGTCATGTCGAGTACAAAGAAGCAACCATTTCGCCGTCTGCCGACAGACGTTCTGCCGTACCATTATGATATCTTTTTGACACCGAATTTGAAAACTTTTATATTCAATGGGAAGATGAATGTGAATATTGATGTAAGTATCAATCTTGATCAGCGCTCTTCAAACATTTGGCTAAATGTTTCTAATATTACACGCTTTGGACATGAAGTGTTAGCGTTGATTTAAAAAATTTAAAGACAGTAATTTTGATTTTTTCAACAGTTTAAAATCTTAAAGACCCATTGAATTCAACAAACATCTGGTATGGGCAAAAATCCATTCTTTCACCAAATTGTCACTAAAGATTATTAGATTCTATTCAGCAGTTCATATAAAAAAGCAATGGTTAATACCAGGAATGCTGATCTTTAGAGGTGTCAAAATGACATTACTTATGGGTACCCGTAATATATGTATGGAGTGTTACATGGCATGTGAGATCTACTTAAGGAATAGATTCTGTATATGAAATCAATAGACCAAGTTTACGTAAACATATGTTCTATTCGATTTTGTTCTGGAATTGTAGCGAGTTTCTTCAAACTTACCGTATTTGTTCACTTTCACAACAAATTTCGTTGAACTCTTGTATAATTCTTTCATGTAGCATTTTGATGTTACATAGGAACTTTGTATATAGTGTATATCAAATAGCTTAATGGATTTAAGTCGAACGAATTAGCCCCTTATTGCAAAAAAACAGCAAGCATTTAATTGCAGATCTATCAGTATTATTAGGTATAAAATTTTCATTAATGTACATTATTGACCAGCAAGGAAAGAAGAAAATAAAATAAGAGAATAATAGAGAAAACATGTTACATATTACACTCATGATAATTTTGTCGATCGAAGGGAATAAAAAAATGTTTGAAGCAAATAATTTTTGCAATAGTTGCAATGTGCGAAAACTGTATGTTTTGCATGCTTCCAATGAAACTCGCAAGGTAAACAATGGTGTGTGCTACATACACGTTAAAGGCATTTTCTCAATCTTTATTTACTTCTCTCGGATAAACCATTGCTCGATTGTACTTTTAATTTACGATTTTGTAATCTTTGTTACACATGCTTTTGATCTGTACAAATGAATCCATGAAATTTTGTCATCAACTGGTGACTGTTTCTTGTGAGCTCTATTTGTCTACTTGCGAGATAAGTGCAGTTCATTCATTAACATCTTTTGAAATAATAATTATATCAACATACCACTTCTCATAACTCGAAAACAAAGTCAAGTAAAACGTACGTTCATATGTACTATTTTTTATTGTTTTTATGTGTAGAATCCATTCCTGATGTGGGTCCTACATGCTATAGGACACCCCATATATAAACAAAATTATGTGAATTACACAATAACTTTTACATATAGAATATAATGTGTACAAGTAATATTTGGTACATTTTTATGAGGTGTGGATCAAACGAATTTAAAATGAATACGTTTTTAAAATACGTTAAAATATCATATACATTGTACGAGTAAAGATTATTCGAAGAAAGTATATATGATCAGTTTTCTTAGAAATTGATCGCTTTCTTAGCTCTGAGGTAGCAGTTATTCAAGACTTATAGATTGAAAAATATGGATGTCCACCGAGACCCGAAACTATATTAAAATGAAATAACTTGTCTATAATTGAGCCAAGCAATCTAAATTTTTTTGAGACGTTAGAAGGAATAGTTCACTAGACAATGGCTAATAAAAAGTTATTTTCAAAAATTGCAATTGGTTGGAATGACAAAAAAAATATAAACGTGTATTTTAACTTTTTTATTTGACCCTGTAATGAAAATTTCAAAATTGGTTTTCTTAGATCGCGGAAACTTCTACGCATGCTCAAAATTTCATCAAAATCGGTTAACTTTGTAATAAGCTATAAACAATTAAAGATGGCGATAATCATATATTTTTAACAACTTTCGATGGATGACTGCAAAAAATCTTGAGATTTTAACATGTTTCAATATTTGTATCAATCGATTTCGATGAAAATTTCCAACATTTATAGAGGGTATCCCTGAAAGATATTTGCAAGTGGGCACCAGGTGATTCCCCATGAAAAAACATGAAAAAATTTCGGCGCGGATACAATTAATCTACAATCGGGTGAGGTTCGGCGGTGCGATTGGGGGATCGCCATCTCTGAGTGAACACATTACTCAATTACGCCAAACTCTTTGTTTTGCACAGGAGATCGTCTTTGAATGATGTGCTCACGTGACGAGTGGCGGGCATTCAGTTCTCACCTGGTCGTAACTGTAGCGGTCGGCCTCACTTACGTATTGTTTCGAAGCAAACACGTACCATGTCTCTCTAACGCTCGCAATAAGTAAAATGTATTCTCGCTACTGCTAATTTGACACATCGAAGTATTGCTACTTTTTATTAATCATTATTGTTAATCTCGTTAAGTTTATAGTTGTTTATTTACATTGTTCCATTACATTTACATTCGTAGAAATGGTGTACAATTCTTTGAACTCTTCAACCTCATAATCCTTTCGCGATACGAAGAACTCCGCCGCGTCGCACAGTGATCCTATTCGATGAATTAGCTGTTCATGATGATTTTTGCAATGTTTTAAAACGTAAAGACAGTTTTATATAGGTCGTTGAATTCGTCTTGACGACTTAACATTATCAAGTAAAAAAGATATAATAACAATTAAAAAATCAAGGCGACTTTAACTTTTTATTTAAGAAAATTTCTTTTTTAGTTTCTTATATTGAGGTTTATAGAAAATTGAGTTCTAATTAATTCTTGTTCGAAACATTTTTTTGTCAAAGCACTGGAAATAACTGAAAAATTGCGACAACATATGAATAATAAATGATGTTTGTGAATTTTTATTTCGCCAATAACACATTTCTCGTACTTAAAAATGCTACTGTCTATAAGATAATTTATTTGAACATTAATATTCAATTGACTGAGAAGAATTGTCAACGTTTTATATAATAATAATTAATGTCTTTTGACCCTCAACACATCGCGCTTTCTTTCAAAGTGGAATGATTTCTACATACTTTTATCTTTATAATCATACTAACATAACTTCCCGCAACGTCCACCCATGAAAATAATTATTGTTTAAGGTGGCTCTGTGGCTAGCAATTAGTACTCAGTCTTCTATAAACATCAATATAAAAAATTAAGATAAAATTTTTTCTTAGATAAAAAATTAAAGTCACCTTGATTTTTTAATTGTTACTATAACTTTTTTACTTGATAATGTTATAGTTGACATCAAGACGAATTCAACGACCTATATAAAATTGTATTTACGTCTTAAAACATTGCTAAAATCGTCGTGAACAGCTAATTCGTCAATTGGAATCGTTGTACCGTTGCAAACATTGGTCCTTCGAGCCGGATCGAATATTCTTGTGAGCTGCACAGTGAATATTTGAGTTAATAAAGAGCACGTGAAATAGCGGCCGTTTTAATCTCAACGGACAATTTTAAAGACGACAAAATTGCGTCTATCGTTGAAGATCAAATTGAACGTTTCTGCCGCATACATAATGTGGTTACGAATCTTAAAATATAGTAAGAGCAATATAGCAAGGCAAAGGTCACCTCAAGCGCTATCGAAACTCAGCTTACACTCTTGGAGAACTGGTGAGAAGAGGTAAAAACAGCTCATGCAGTCTTAAAGATTCATCCGAGTGCAGAGCTCGTCAAACTGCAGTATGATCGGAAGGCCTTTTACGACGAATGTGTAGCTGTGTTTGCTGATCAGAGGACTATTTCCCTGGACATTCTTAAGGCCCTTTGACGAAGCGAAGAAACTACACCAAGCAAGAAATCAGTCGAGTCGCGTTGCCGTGCTGCGCTACCTCTCATACAGGTGCCAACGTTTGATGGACAGTTTCAGAACTGGACTGCCTTCCATGATCAGCTTAAATCGCTTATTATAAACGACAGCTCTTTGAACAACGTCGATCAGCTGAATTATCTCAAGAGTAGTTTGACTGGAGAAGCGGTCCTTATCTTTAAGAACCTTGTTATTACTGAGGCCAGTTTCCCCAAAGCTTGGGATACCTTAAAGGGCAAATTTGAGATTAAACGCTTACTAGTACGATCACAAATGACTGTACTGAGCAACATACCAGGGTTGAAACTTGCATCAACTGTGGGTATGAAGAAGCTAATGTATGGGACTTGGGACGTGATCGATGCCGTGAATGACCTAGGATGACCTGTCACCAATGCCACAAATTGGATCGTCAACTTGACGGGAGACAAGGCAGGAGTGGGAGGACTCCTTGGGTGGAACAAAAAAAAAGCCAGGATCGAAACCGTGGAGGCCATGGTTGAGTACCATAAAGGACTCGCTAAATCTGCACCAGGAATCCTAAGTCGAACCGGGTTCAGCTCTCATTTTCGTAGAGTAACCCGCTTAACCGGGTTAACCAATGCGTAGATGTTTGGTTAACCCGCTCTTATGTTATCCCTGGTTAATGTCAGGGATCCTAACCGCCGCCTAACTCAATTCGTAACCCGGTTACTACAGGGAAACAAAAGAAAATCTTCCGCTACAGTTCGATGGAAACATTTATCTAATCGAAGTAAAGAAATTAGTAGATTCAACAATTCTTTTCGTAGTTTAATTCCATATTGCAACCGATTTCAAAAACCCATATTTACCTATCTAATAACCGGCTCTTGTAACCTTTCTGTAATAAGTGGGTTATGTTACCCGCTCTCTGGACAATTTGGGAGTCGTTCTCCTGCGTGTTACTGTAACCAGCCTTGGTTAACCAAGTTACTGTTAGGGTTAGGCGGCGGTTAGAAACCCTGGTCTGCACAGATGCCCATCAAGCCGGCCAAGTTGCTCCAGTCAAGAGATACAGGGTGTGCGATCTATGCAGCAAGGATCATTTCCTCTTGTACTACCCAGCCTATGGGAAAAAGATACCCTTTGAGCGACGGGCCATCATTCAAGCTTTCGGCCGCTGTTTTAACCGATTGAAGAAACATCTGACTAAGACGTGCGCGTCTCCCAACGCTGCCAAACGTGTGCGGAACTCCATCACACCGTCATCCATCAAGACGCAACAACTGCACTGGAGTCGGTCGTGCAGCATATAATAGATGCAATACGCACCGACGGCAAACGAAATCTAAACTCACACAGTCCGTGATGACGGACAGATTCTATCTGCATAAGTGTATCGCCAATCACCCTTCGTTTCATGGATACACGAGGACTCGACGAGTCCTAGTTGGCCAATGAGACTATCAGCCTGACTACTTTCAGGTTTTAGGATACCGAAATGGATATCCTCTGCCAAGAAGAAGACGCCTCCAATTGAACCCTTTCAGCTATGGGAGGTCACACTCCGTATCGGTGGACGGCTGGACCCAGACAGAAATCCAGTTTGACAAAATCATACAGGCATTATGCCAGACGCTTTGTTATTGGCCAAGCTTTGGGTGGATGAGCACACTTAACTCATTACGTTATCATTCATTTCCGATCACATGCATCATTTCATGATTCACTTACTATTCACCTGCTTGTACTTCATCCAATCTCATATTTCTTCATGCATCATTGGTCACGCACATCGTCACAACTTATTATTTTTCAGCACACTGACGACACTAGTACGCACGACAATCCCCTATCTCAACGGCTCGCGTGGTCTACTCTTCGTTCAACGCATTACCAAACCGCTTAGCAACAACTTGAATGTCAACAGTCGCCACGAGGGTATTTCGTCGTACTACGACGAGGCGGGCGGAATGTTCGGAATTGGCCACGCGAACCGGTGAACAATCATGGACGTCGCCGCCGATTTTGGCGCGAATACAATTAAACCACAATCGGGCGAGGTTCGGCCGACAACGTGTTCGTGCGATCGGCCGGGACAGGGCCTGCCATCTCTGAGTGAACACATATTACTCAATTACGCCAAACTCTTTATTTTGCACGGGAGATCGTCTTTGAGTGATCTGCTCACGTGACGAGTGGCGGGCATCCTGCTCTTGCCTGGTCATAACCGTAGCGGTCAGCCTCGCTTACTTCCGTATCGTTCCGAGGTAAACACGTACCGTGTCTCTCTCTAACGTTCGCAATAAGTAAAGCGTGTTCGCGCTATTGCTAATTTGACATATCGAAGTATCTTCACCTTTTATTAATCATTATTGTTAATCTCGTTAAGTTTATAGTTGTTTATTTACATTGTCTCATTACATTTACATTCGTTCACACAAATGGTATACAATTCTTTGAACTTTTCAACCTCATAATCCTTTTGCGACGCGAAAAACTCCGCGTCGTGCCGTTACAAACAAAAATATAGAATAACTTTTTTTTATTTGCTACTCATTTTTCGAGAAAATCGAATTTGAAAATTCGGTTTGTAGACTCGGTCTCGGGTAATATAAGCGATATGCGTTGCTCGACGAACCGTATCTTAGCCGTAAAAAAAGTTATTTCATATTTTTTTCATGTTTTTTTTTTATGAGAAATCACCTGGTGCCCACTTGTACATACCTTCCAGCGACACTCTGTATAAAATACCGAGATCTACAAAATGCATTTTTTAAATTTTCGTTATAGGCTCGTATAAAAAAGTTGAAAAAACATATTTTTTTTAACTTTTTTTATTATCCCAATCAACTGCAATTTCTGACAAGAATTTTTTAGCAATTGTCTAGTAAACCCTTTAGTATCTCAACAAATTTTAGATCGCCGTTTTAAAAGGCGTTCGAATACTTTCGTGAGCATGTGTAGATCATTTGCTAGGACTTCGACAAAACTTTCTATCTTTGGTTAAATTGAAAATATTGCATTAGAATACCATATTTTTCTTAAATCGTTAATTTCTTTAAATCTATACATTGTTAATATCAGTATTTAATGTTTGTAGGTGGTAAAGTCTACGGATACCGTTGTCGTGAATTCCTTGGACATCAACATCAAAAGCGTTGCCTTCCACTGCCAGGAAAAGGACCCTATTTTGACAAAGAAAATTGATATTTCCGTACCCGACGAGACAGCTACCTTCATATTTAATGAAAAGTTACCATCTGGCAAAACTGGATATTTATGCTTGGAGTTTGATGGAGAAATTAATGATAAAATGAAAGGGCTTTATAGAAGCAAGTATACTAGGTACAATATTTACAGTATAATTATGCATTATATATAAATAAAAAAAAATTTCCCGGAAATACGATAATTTTGGGACACTCTTTAGGGAAAGTGAGTGGGATGCTGTAACTTTTTTACATCCCGCACATGCACGTTCAGTTTTCCCTTGTTGGGATGAACCGTCGTTAAAAGCTACTTTTTCGATTCGGCTTACACTTCCATGTAACACGTCGCTTGTCGCCTTGTCCAACATGGTGAGCACTGATCATTATTGTTTGACTAATGGATTCGTTTTGTCTTTCCAGGTTGGACGGGAGTGTTGAATACGCAGCAGTAACACAATTCGAGTCAACAGATGCTAGACGTTGCTTTCCATGTTGGGATGAACCGTCTCACAAAGCCACATTTGATATTGTCTTAAACGTGCCATTAGGTCTTACAGCACTCTCGAATATGGTAAGTTGCGTCTAGCAACTGTTATGTTTTTTTCTTCTTTAAGAAAATGCTTGCCAAGTAATTATTAAAACGAAACCACTTATTTTTCATTTCAGCCTGTTAAAAAGAAAGAAACAAGTCAGGACTCGATGGAAACGTACCACTTCGAAACAACATCAATAATGTCAACATATTTGGTAGCGATAGTTATCGGCGAATTTGATTACATAGAGGATAAGTCTCGCGACGGAGTATTGGTAAGAGTATACACACCAAAATCTAAAACCGAACAGGGTCGATTTGCGTTGGAGACGTCCGTTAAGATGTTACCATACTACAAAGACTACTTCGGGATTGCATATCCGTTACCAAAAATCGATCTGATCGCGATCGCTGACTTTTCGTCAGGAGCTATGGAAAATTGGGGGCTGGTCACGTACCGTGAAACGTGCCTTCTAGTGGATCCACAGAACACGTCTGCTCTTCGAAAGCAGTGGATCGCACTAATTGTGGCGCACGAGTTGGCGCATCAATGGTTTGGAAATCTTGTTACCATGGAATGGTGGACTCACCTGTGGCTGAATGAGGGGTACGCCTCGTTCGTAGAATTCCTATGCGTTGCAGACCTGTTCCCGGAGTATGACATTTGGTCGCAATTTGTCACGGACACGTACATCGGAGCGCTGGAATTAGACGCTCTACAGAACAGCCACCCGATCGAGGTGCCGGTCGGTCACCCGTCCGAGATCGACGAAATTTTTGACGAGATTTCTTACAATAAAGGCGCCTGCGTTATTAGAATGCTGCACGCCTATATCGGGGACGACGATTTCCGCAAGGGAATGAATCTGTACTTAAATAGGTACAGTTACGGTAATGCGGAGACTATGGACCTTTGGCGCGCTTTGGAAGAAGCCAGTAACAAGAACGTAGGCTCCGTGATGTCCACGTGGACTGAGCAGCAGGGTTTTCCCGTTGTCACAGTTGAACATCGCCAGGATGGTAGCGACAGGATCCTGACCCTCACCCAGAAGAGATTTTTGGCCGGTGGTGTCGAGGAGACGGGTGACAGTTCATGGATGATTCCCATAAGCGTGAGCACATCGAAGGATCCCAAAAAATTCGTGCTAACGGATTTGTTGGACGAGAAAACGAAAGAGTTCAGGGTCAAAGACGTCGCTCCAGAAAGCTGGGTGAAACTGAACCCTGGAACAATCGGTTTCTACAGGACTCACTACAGCTCAGAAGCGCTGTCGTTGTTATTACCGGCCGTTAAAGACGGCACGTTACCTCCGTTGGACAGACTGGGACTGTTCGATGATCTTTTCGCTGTGGCACAAGCTGGCCGCGCTTTCACCGTGGAGGTGCTCCAACTAATGCACGCGTTCAAGAAGGAAGACAACTTCACTGTGTGGTCTAGTATAGACAACGCTCTGAGGAAAATCGGATTTCTCCTCTCCCACTTAGACTGTCTGGACTCCTACAAGGCGTTCGGGCGTTCCTTGATGCACGACATTCGCAACAAACTTGGTTGGGACCCTAAACCAAACGAAAGTCATTGCGATACGCTGCTGAGATCCCTGGTGCTTGACCGCATGGCAGTTCTGAACGACAGGGATACCATCGAGGAAGCGAAGAAACGGTTCGAGCTGCACGTCTCCCGCAAAACTCTTCTTTCCGCCGACTTGCGCAGCCCCGTGTACAAGGCTGTACTCTCTAACGGCAACAACGAGACTTACCAAACGATGCTGAAGCTCTACCGCGAAACTGACCTACACGAGGAGAAAGATAGAATACTAAAAGCTCTCGGCGCGATCAAGGACGAAGCTATACTCGCGGAGATCCTCGAATTCGCAATGAGTGTCGAGGTCAGGGCTCAAGATGCGGTGTACGCGATCATGTCGGCGTCGATGACGTACAAGGGCCGTCTGATGGCCTGGGAGTTCATCAAGAAACACTGGGAAACGATCCACGATCGTTACGACGGTAGTTTCCTGTTGACCAGACTCGTCAAGATCGTCACCGAGAACTTCGTCACGGAAGAGCAGGCCAACGACGTTGAGAACTTCTTTAAGGAGCATCCAACGCCTGGCACAGAGCGAACAGTCCAGCAGAGCGTTGAGTCGATCAGATTGAACGTGGCATGGTTGGCCAGAGATTTAGACTCTATCAAAGAATTCTTGGACCAGCAGAGCAAAAGTAGCAGTAGCACGGAGTCTTGCCCTCGCGAAGCTGTTACCGGCGACTTGTTATAGTGACTGATAAAGCAGAAAACTGAGGGTTTAGCGTCATTCGTGCAAACTTGGATGAAGGAAGAATGTTGTCATAAAAATACGATCGCCGTCGTTAAATCTAGATCATAATGATCGGAGAAATGGATTCTTTACTTTTATTGCAAATTAAACGCAGTATTAAACTTTGCATTTACTTTTGTACTGAGTCCGAACGAACAGCTGATTTTTTCCTTCCCAGGTTGCGTATGCGCGCCGTTTTGGAGAATCGTATTGTCACTCATGTATGTACAATAAAGAGTGTGCAATAAAAAGTATGTGAAACAAGCGTATAGCTGCAATATGCAATTTATATCACATTTAAAACACAGAAGATTCAAATAAATACTTTTACGCTTGTACCATCGCGAATGCTTTCAACATCCTCTCCACGATCGTTTACATTTTACATGGTCTTTACACAGAGTTTATTATAATCATTTTTCAATAGTTCCAATACTAAAAATTAAATCTAGATTTTAACTCTTCTGGCTGACTCCTGTATCGTTGTCGCGAGAGTCTACAAAACGAAGGAAATGGGAGAATCATTTCATACATAGACACATACAGACCGTATGAATACTAAACAAATAGATCGTAACACCTGTCACTGAAAGGATTAACTAGGCACAGCTGTGCTTTTGTACGACAAAAATTGAACCCCTCGGAATACAATGGATAAGCGCAGTTTACAAAACTAGTCTATGTTAGGTTCGTCGATCGACATCTAAACTATGACACGTATAAGTTTTTTCAAGTAATTACTTTTATACTTTCGTTCTCGCCATCTTGGATTTGGAAGTGTTGAAATGATCATTGAAAATCGCAAGAAGGAAATATCGATTCGAACTTATCCAGTAGAAATGAGCGAATAACCATACCACAAGGAAGTTACATCGTTAATTGCCTATTAAACATTGTTTAGCTTTACTAAGAAGCAATCAGTGTTTTTAGTGTTGGATACGAAGATCAGGATACACTAATCATGACATGTTTACTCCCTCCACCCCCATATTCGAGAAATGTAAAGAAATTGTTATTCTAATGTTACGAACCCTCGATATACCTAAATACTCAAAGTGGATAGATCAAAGATTGGCAAATTAAACTAATTTCAATGACAATCGTAAAATTGGATCTACGCTACAGCGATACAGCTTCTCTTAACGACGCAGAAGTTCTAATACATCATAGGTTATTTCCTCGACTCTTTCAGTAAAACACAAAAAATACATAAATGTTGACTTGGGTATAAATTTCATTTAGATGTATAGCAACCACCGCGAGAGAGATAAATTTGAACTCTCTAGCTCGAAATTTGCTTACAGAATCGACCAAGTTTTCTGCTATTATTGAGAACGGTAGTAACCAGCGCGATTGAAACTCGATTATTTTGAGTCTGCAATTTCGACCGTGTCATTGGGCCAGCTATGGTCCGTTCTTCGAAAGAAGCAGACCGGCAACGTAGAAGCGGCCAGTTATTACGATTGCGTAATCTCGGGCGCTTTTTCCCCCCCGGAGAACAGGTTACCGAAAAGCTAAAATGTAAGACGATGTCGTGGACAACCGTGGCGATTCTTATCCGAATCGATCAGCCCGTTTAGCTTCCTTGTGGGAGGGTGTGCTGCTGTGACACCGTGAGTCAGCCTCCACTTTCGTTATTAGCGTGTATCCAGAACGAGAGAGAGAAAGAGACAGAGGGTGGTGGCTCGCGTCGGAGAGTAGTTTCACCACCCCCTAGCCATTCTGTGTTCCCCCATGGCTCCTCGCTATGAATACGAAGTGAGCCTCGAGTGGCCGAAGGGACGAAAAGCCGCGGGGACACGCAGCCAGTCGGACGGAATCAGTTCCCTGGGTATCCCGTGAACCCGTGGTTCCCAGGAACGCGCACGCGACCCGGGACAGGGAACACGATCAATACGAACTTTGCGAACTCCTACACCCTGCGACGATACATCGTCCGCCTGTGCTGTGGCCAGGCCCTCCTTCAACCAGGACAACCACCGAGAGACTCCTCCCTCGCACGTGTGCGTGGATTATTACGTACACGTGTGCTCATTTAACCCACCCCTCGTGGGTTCTCTGTGCCTCGCCGAATATACGCGTCATATAAAATATAATATAATATGAGAAATTAACCTTCCAGCACACGTGTACGATCACGAAGACAGTTCTTTTCATTTTCGCCTAACTCTCTCACGCTGCACGGGAGGGCAAAAGATCCTCCGGTTGTACGTCGATCATTTTTTTTGTCAACAACTCCCAATTTTTAATCGCCATGTTCGGTTACGACGATTTTGCGCATATGCTTGTTAAACCGGCTGCTTAGAATCAAGCAGATTCAGAAAGAATGCCAATGCTCCTCGCATTTGCTTACTTGGAAACATAAATAAATGTAAAATCATGTTCACCGTAGCGTCAAGAGAAGGCACATTGAAATTTACAAGAGTCATTGCTACGATTGTCATCGTTTAAAAGTAATTTCTTCTTTCTTAAATCGGTTTATATTTAAAGAGTCGTTAAAAATGTAAGCGCTGCACGAGCAAAGTAAACCGAATTTCAGAAGCATACGATATAAAATAGTACAAAATCGAAGTATTGTATATATATATGCTGAAAGAAATATATCTTAGTTCTGAAGTTAAAATAGCTTCGAGAGTGCAAAAGGGTTGCTATATCTATATTGTATCCGTTCGTAGATTTTCTTGCGTACTTTTATTTTTGTTTCTGGGTATCGTTTCTACGTCGGAATGTCGAAGATTCGGTGTTGTAATTTGATGTACTTGAGAAAATTCGTGAATTTTAACCGAGAATCTTTTTTAACCGACAACTATTTTGGAATCACGTACGACGATTAGCGTATGCAATTTGGTAGATGCGCGTAGATTGTGACCGACTGTATTATATTCGTCCGAGACGCTCGCGGATTTATCGCTTTCAATGATGTAGGAAGCGGAGAAACGACCCGGCAAGAAACTGCCGATGGGATCGTTATGGACGAGCTTGATCATAGAGAGAGCCGAGTCCTTTTAGGAATCGCGTTTTACTCGCTCGTGAATATCGTTCGCTAACGGAGGCTGGTTTTATGGACGCGAAGGGGGATGCCCGTTTTTACCCTCGCGATTGTTACCGTGCCGGGAATCATTACAGGACGGTCGAATGACTTTATCGCTCGCCGAGGTTTACGATGATTTTCAAGTTACTTTGGCTTCTCCTTCTTCGTCCGACTCCATTCAGATTAGAATCGGAGAGGACGATAACGGCATTGTGTGCTCAGCCGGTTACTAATTTTAGCGAAACTGCGATATGGGGACCGTATGTATTCTGTGGGTAATTACGCGTCTTGCAATTTCTAACGATTTATGATAAATGGGTAAAATATAAAATGGTAGGGGAATACGAAACATTAAAAAGCATCGGTCGTACTAACTTAATAAAATTCTTACAGAAAGATTTGGTTACAGTACCGTATACAGTTCGTGTAACAAATTTTCATTTTGCATAAATGAGGATTACAACTAACGAGAATTACAGCGCTCTCTTTGTACAGTGCAGTTACTTTTTATGTGTCGTGTAACCCAGAATTTAACTAGATCGTGCCATTCGTCAATTTGCTCGGCCTTCGGATCAATCGAATCGTTGAATTTTTTACAGTTCGATACCTAATCGTGATCGCTAGGTGAAGCGTAATCGGTGCAATGTAACAACAATAAACGGTATAAGTTGTCTTCTTCCGTACTTTTGAAGGCGTGTTTACACGCGGCGTAAAGTAAGTTTACTTTTCGGCCATTTCGTAGCAGCGCGCAGTTTTCTCTGCGAATACACTGCACCTACAAGGAAGTGCACCTTGTCGAGCTACATTTTTACTTTCACTTTCTATCAAATCGTCAAACAAGCCGCGTCTTTCTAGCACGTCGGCTAAAAATCACTTTCTACACCTTCGCACTATCGCAACGATTCATTCTCAATGTTTTGCAGATAATTTAATCACGATTGTTTCTTTGTGTTACCGATCAATATTAATCTCGTGCTTTCCGATCGCCTAGAAATTATATTCTTGTTATTTAAAACATTCTCCGTTTTCTGCAATTTTTCGTGTTACGTGGTTGAATCAATCTCGGTACAATCAAATACTAAAATTATTCATTCTTTAGAATCGAACGTTTCTCGCGATATCTTCGTGTTAATCGACTCGCCGTTCTCGGTACATTTCTTCTCGTTACCGGAAACTAACGGGCTTAGACAAAGGCAAACATAAAAGAAAGAACCGCGATAAGCGAAGTCTATATCAGACGCGGATGGGTAATGGTCGCGCGATACTGGTGCCATAAGGCGTCGGGGGAAGGTGTCGCTCTCCAATAGAGAATCACAGACGCATAGGTAAACGTGTGGACACAGTTTGCATTTATTTCGCGTGCGCGAGTGTGACACGCCCGCGCGACAATATTACTTACACTTTACAGCCTTTCAGTCTTCGCGAATATACAATAGTTAGAGACTCGTCTGTAAGTTGGAGATCTCTGGAGGTCGTTTTCGTCGACAAATCTTTCGATTCTTTTCAACGATTCCTTATTCTATCGCCGGTAAAATACAAACAATTTCTCCTTCGTTCGGTGGTGATCGAACTTACGCAGGAAGTTCCAAAGATGTGGTAATGGAAGAGAACAAGAAAAATCGCGGACAGGGAAGGAGAATCATTTCGGTGTAGGATAGAAACGGTCGAGGTGTCAGCACCTCCGTTTCGCTGGAGTATGCAGGGGGGAAAGAGTTTGAAACGAGGTTGAGACCACCAGAGATTTCCAACTTATAATATGAAAAGCAATAACAACGATAATAATCAGTAATAATAATATAATAATAATAATATAATAATAATATAATAATAATAATAATAATAATAATAATAATATAGTATCAGCAATTACCATTAATGTAATCCATAATCATAATACATGTGATTCATTTTATTATCTACAACGGGTGTCGAAATAATACAGAGCCGGTCATCGCGACGATAAAAACATCTCTTCCGTACGAAATCTACGAGAAAGAATGGGTGGGGGGATTCATTCATGACTGGTTGGGTAGGGTGTGCACTATTACGTGACGGCCAATTGGATTCTAAGATCTATCACACGAACGTCGTCGGCGGGGAACCTTCGAAAATACAGTCCGAAACAGATCGGAAAGCGTCGTTGTTTCCATCGTTCGAAGATCGATCGGGACGTGGCAATCAGTCATGAGTGGCGAACAAAAGTACGTATACACAAAAGTGAGTCTAAACGGTCCAACACTTCGAGCTCGCAACCCTCGAACGCGGCACGAACGAAAATCCATAGCGTGGTCGACGAGGAAGCGAACGAGGTTTCGAGTCGTCGTAGGGCACGGTTTACAGGGATACGAAAAAGATCGAGTGGAAGAAGAGCGGTGTACAATAATAAATGGTGCGAGGAATGCGGCGAGTTTATGTACAAGTATTTACATGTTTCCCCGGGAGAAAGAGGTTCGACTAAGCCGCGTGAGAGGCCCGCTTAAATTCTCGTCCGTTCGGACATGTCCCGAGTCCCCCGGCGCCGAGCCTGTTCCCGGCTCTTCGAGAGAGTCTTTGTACAACGAAGACGACGGGGTTGTCTCGCCTGGGAGCTCCTGGCGAAGGACTCTGGCTCCGCTTCAGCCCTCGACCCACGGAGCAGACTCGAGAGCACGGTGCCGTGGCGGCGTGTCGGAGAGGCCGTCGTGGAGGTGTCGGAGAAGTCGATCCTCCGGCTCGCGGCGACCTGGAGCTTACTGGAGCTGGTGCGACGAGCTATGTCACCGTTCCGTGACCAGTCCGGTGATAGTGGTCGTCGTCGTCGGCGATGCGGTGGAGGCGGTGGGCGTCGTCGTGGCGGCGTTCAGCAGCGGCTGCAGCGGTTGTCGAGGGTTCGCCTTGACGATACTGGATTCGTGGTTCGTCTCCTCCAGTGTCGTCTGCAGGTCGCAAATGTATTCGATCACCCTCTGGATCACCTCGAGCTTGGACAGTTTCCGTTTCCTTGGCATGTCCGGGACCAAGGAGCGCAGCTTCGTCAAATAAGCGGCCACTTCCTCCGCTTCNCCGCGCGACAATATTACTTACACTTTACAGCCTTTCAGTCTTCGCGAATATACAATAGTTAGAGACTCGTCTGTAAGTTGGAGATCTCTGGAGGTCGTTTTCGTCGACAAATCTTTCGATTCTTTTCAACGATTCCTTATTCTATCGCCGGTAAAATACAAACAATTTCTCCTTCGTTCGGTGGTGATCGAACTTACGCAGGAAGTTCCAAAGATGTGGTAATGGAAGAGAACAAGAAAAATCGCGGACAGGGAAGGAGAATCATTTCGGTGTAGGATAGAAACGGTCGAGGTGTCAGCACCTCCGTTTCGCTGGAGTATGCAGGGGGGAAAGAGTTTGAAACGAGGTTGAGACCACCAGAGATTTCCAACTTATAATATGAAAAGCAATAACAACGATAATAATCAGTAATAATAATATAATAATAATAATATAATAATAATATAATAATAATAATAATAATAATAATAATAATATAGTATCAGCAATTACCATTAATGTAATCCATAATCATAATACATGTGATTCATTTTATTATCTACAACGGGTGTCGAAATAATACAGAGCCGGTCATCGCGACGATAAAAACATCTCTTCCGTACGAAATCTACGAGAAAGAATGGGTGGGGGGATTCATTCATGACTGGTTGGGTAGGGTGTGCACTATTACGTGACGGCCAATTGGATTCTAAGATCTATCACACGAACGTCGTCGGCGGGGAACCTTCGAAAATACAGTCCGAAACAGATCGGAAAGCGTCGTTGTTTCCATCGTTCGAAGATCGATCGGGACGTGGCAATCAGTCATGAGTGGCGAACAAAAGTACGTATACACAAAAGTGAGTCTAAACGGTCCAACACTTCGAGCTCGCAACCCTCGAACGCGGCACGAACGAAAATCCATAGCGTGGTCGACGAGGAAGCGAACGAGGTTTCGAGTCGTCGTAGGGCACGGTTTACAGGGATACGAAAAAGATCGAGTGGAAGAAGAGCGGTGTACAATAATAAATGGTGCGAGGAATGCGGCGAGTTTATGTACAAGTATTTACATGTTTCCCCGGGAGAAAGAGGTTCGACTAAGCCGCGTGAGAGGCCCGCTTAAATTCTCGTCCGTTCGGACATGTCCCGAGTCCCCCGGCGCCGAGCCTGTTCCCGGCTCTTCGAGAGAGTCTTTGTACAACGAAGACGACGGGGTTGTCTCGCCTGGGAGCTCCTGGCGAAGGACTCTGGCTCCGCTTCAGCCCTCGACCCACGGAGCAGACTCGAGAGCACGGTGCCGTGGCGGCGTGTCGGAGAGGCCGTCGTGGAGGTGTCGGAGAAGTCGATCCTCCGGCTCGCGGCGACCTGGAGCTTACTGGAGCTGGTGCGACGAGCTATGTCACCGTTCCGTGACCAGTCCGGTGATAGTGGTCGTCGTCGTCGGCGATGCGGTGGAGGCGGTGGGCGTCGTCGTGGCGGCGTTCAGCAGCGGCTGCAGCGGTTGTCGAGGGTTCGCCTTGACGATACTGGATTCGTGGTTCGTCTCCTCCAGTGTCGTCTGCAGGTCGCAAATGTATTCGATCACCCTCTGGATCACCTCGAGCTTGGACAGTTTCCGTTTCCTTGGCATGTCCGGGACCAAGGAGCGCAGCTTCGTCAAATAAGCGGCCACTTCCTCCGCTTCGAGATCCCGGCGAGTCCCGTTGATCCCGAGGCTACCGTGCAGCACACCCCTGCTAGGTGGTACTCTGCCGCCCACCGGACTCACTACCATTGCCTTCATGCTTGGTCTTCTCGGTTCTCACCTCGGTAACGGAGAATTTCGTCGGGTGTCGGCGGCCGCGTCCGGGGAAACCAGAAAGAAATGTGGGTCGTCGATTAAATATAGTCACGCACACCTTCTCGACTCGTTATCTGCCGGACGCCGTGCTGCACCGTACACGCACCCCGTATTTATCGATCGAACCAACCCGCCGATGCGACCAGTGTACCAGTGTCGGTTTCCTTTCCGTTCGATCCTAGACGGTTTTTGGTACCGTTTTGCTGCGGTTTCGCCAGTTTCTGCCTCGCGTTCTGTTGCGTTGTATTGTATTTCCTCGCTCGGCTCTTGCGCACGATCCTTTTCTTTTTCACACACACACTTAAGGCAGGTCTCGGTGTTGTCAGTTATCGCGAGCCGATCTCACTCGCGTCGAACATTTTCCGATCGACCGTCCAAGTTTGTGGTGAATACAGCGTCGAGTTCCGGGCACAACCAGTGCGCCAACAAACAGCGATATACGATCTACAGACGCTCTGTCGACACGCTACTCTCGACGGATCGAAGTCAACTGGCCTCCGCCCCTCACCTGCGAGCTTTTATAGCCTTCCCCCACCACGTACGCTGCTACCCCCGCGACGCCTCCACTACTTGTACGGCGCAATCGCTGCCCGAATAGAATAGCGTTGGACTCGAATTACTCGCGAATCCGATTTTTCCGTTCCACTTGGTTCTCACATTTTTTTCCGAGTACATTCTTCCGGTTCCTTTCTTCCTTTTTCGATGAACAAATCCTCGCGTCTTACGATCGATAGTAAGATGCATCGAGCGAGATATCGATCAGTTTAAATTCACTTGTTGATCTCGGTTTCGGGTACGTTCAGAAATATTCCAAACACGAATAGAGCTCGATAATCATTCCGAAAAGTAAATTCCATCTGTTTCGAATCGGTTCGAAACGAAAATATGTCGGAAAATTTCTTACAAAGTGGAAAAAGATAAACCCTCGTTGCTTCGCGCGATTTTCGAGAGGACTCGAATCGCTTTCATTGTTCGCCGCGAATGTTGCGACAAGAAAGAAGGGCAAATCTATTCACCGGTGTTCAAGCGGAAGGGTCAAGTTACGCACGGTTTTCAACCGTCCGGCGAACGAAAACTGAAAAATGTATGCACGACAATCGATAGGATCGATGTGCGCACCGTGAGTTTCGAACAGTTTCCAAAGCAAGCGAGTGAGCGAAAACTTGGTAAAACAGCGCGACGACGATAGGAGATTACTCGAAGAACTGTACGGTCGACTCGATGGCTCGATCTTACCGATGATAGATCGGCGGTATGTGGCGGCGCGAACCTCGGCATAATTCTCAGCCGTGCGCCACGCCGTTCGGCGGAGCGAACAAATAGCACGAAACCGGGTTTCCCGCCGCGAATTACCAACGTTTCGAGGAATAATTTGCAGAAAGGTGTGACGGAGCGCCGCTAGGAATTCTAGACGGCCTATCTGGCCGCGTCCCCCTCCGTCTCCCGCAAACTTGTTCCATCGAAATTGTTCGGGTCGAAGCCGACCGTAGCCGGGGGTGTTTGACGACCATGGGACTAGAGGCGTCGGCGGGACAAGCCGGGCGTGGAAGAGAAGGGCAACGCCGGGTCGCGGGGCCGGGGGGGAGGTGCGTGAAGGGTCCTGGGTGCGGGTGAAGGAGAGAGGAGGGGGACGCGACCATTGTTGAACGTCCGGCGGCGCCAGCCACTAGCCATCACGGCTACCACCACCGTGACACCGTCGCACCACTACCAACCGGCGACGGCAACCACCGTTCTCGTGTATGCCCATGGTTCACGGGCTCGGCGCTGTGCACCGGCAACCTGTACACCATGATTCCGGCTACGAGCACGGCTCCTTTGTGTAGGTGTGCGTGCGCGGTACCGGGTCCGAGAGACCGAGACTCTTGCCTTCTTGACTCGTGTGCTCGCGCGTACACGATCAGGCAATCTCTCTTCCTTTCCCTGCCTCTCTCTGTCTTTCCCGAGATAGCCGAGCTCCGTCTAGCGCGCTCGTGACTCTGGTTACTCCGGAGTCTCGTTACCGGTCGGGACAAGAATCCACCCGATGTCCGGCGCTACGGACACAGAACGAAGGGAGTCCTTTATTTGCTGTGCCGCGGAACGAGTCCCCCGGGAGGGCCCCGCGAAATTGCGCTCGCCGGCCACCGAATTCAACCCGGGATCTAATCCAGATCCGCGCGAGCTGCCGGACCGTTTCTATCCCCTTGGCTCGCCGTGCGCTCCTTTCGATTTTCAACCCTTGTCCGGTACCCGGATACCCGTTTAACCCTTACGTCAATAATCAAAATTGTCGACGTTGCACCGTAACCAAGGTACACGGGTACCCCTATGACGAGGTATTTCGATATTACGTTACCGTGATATTAACCGCGTTACTTTTATATAATTATGTGAACATTCATTTTTATTCACTTTACATTTATTAACGCGAGAAAATGTTTTTGTTAATTGTCTGGAGTGTAGACACTCCCCTTCCTACGTTCTCTAACAAAAATTCAGGTTTATTGAACGGTCATTGAACATATCTGAAACTTCATTGTCCAATTTTAGTAGTTTCCTCGGAAGAAAATTGTAGACTCGAGACAGATATTTTGAAGAGAATATACAACAAGGTATGTACTCGGTTATTGGCATAAGGGTTAAGGGGATATTCAAATGTAGAACTTAAAAAAGAAACGATATTTTTTATCGCATTTTCTTAAAGAAAATACCCTCTTCTTTCATTCAGATTTATTGAACGGTCATTGAACGATTTATCCGGTTATTGAACGAATGTATCACGAACTTCATTGTCCAATTTTAGTAGTTTTCTCAGAAGAAAATCGTAATATTAATATGTAGAACTTAATGATATTCAAATGTAGAACTTAAAAAAGAACCGATTTCTTTTATCGCATTTTCTTAAAGAATATCATCTCAGAAATATATGTGCAATGACAAACATTGCACACTCTCGTAGATCTCCAACGGATGCAAGATGTAGATTTTCTAGCGCAGAGGAATATCCTGTCGCCGGGCGGTAACATTCGTGGCTATCGATTGGCAAAAGGTTCGCCAATTGCGTATTTCTCGCACGTTTCCCGTTATCTGTCCTCTCGGTCGCCAGGTTCGCGCCTTCGCTTTCAACGACTGTGAAAAACTTCGCGGTTTCCATCTCGACTGTTCACCGGTATATCTGAAATCTTTATCACGAGCGGATTTCTCGCGCAATGAGGCGCGCCCCGCTTACGCTTTGCATTTTCGATTATCGCGCGAACGTTTCCATGCTCGCCGCCGTTTTCTACGTTCACCACGTGCTTCGCACACGTGCGTACACCGCTCGGGAATCCTGTAAAACACGACATTGTTATTTCGCCTCAAGGTAGCTGTTCCTCTTCACCGGCTACCCTCGCTTTATCTCCCGTTCGATCCTAGAGAACCTCGGCGTCTCTCCGCGAGATTTTTCAAATGTACCGAGACGTTGTTCGCGTCTGAAACATTGGCATTAGGTTTTAGCTCGATAGGAAGATTACGGCCATCTTTCGCAGCGTCGCGCGGATTTTATTTATGCGTTTATGGCATTCGCAGGTTCGCACGTTTGTCTCAGAGTTGGGCATTTTTTGTGATGAAACTAATTTCATTACTCTATCTTCATTGCTCAGTAATCATTAGTTGTAAATGTTTTGTTAACAGTAATCGCTTTCGTCAGTCGCGTTAGACAAAAATACAAGAAACAAAAATTGTCTCGTTCTATACTTTTTAAGGACAAAGAAGTCCTAAGCAACGTAGCTATGAAAGAAATTCATAGTTCAAAGGGTTACAATCTTCTGACGGTTTCCATGCGTTGTATTCTCTTTTCTTATTTGAAGCCGTAAAGTCTAATTATTACTTTTAGCTATTCGTATATATAAGCAGAGTTGGGCATTATTCTCGAATTGTTACGAATAAATATTTATCTAAGATAATTATCCGAATGTATAGTTTTTAGTCGAATACTTGCTTCGAATAATAATTACTTATTATGCATCATAAATTATTTTATCTTTACGAAATTATTCGAATAAATGATACGAATAGAGATTTTAAAATTATTATTTTTCCACTTAATTTTATTAGAAAATATGTTTCTACGACTACTTTCACAATCAGTCCAATTTGAGGTATTCACGTGTATATATTCCTGTACGAATAAATTCTTATATAATATATAAACTTTTATCTAAATAAATTTGTATTATATTCGAATATATAAAATTTTGTTTATTAGACTTTATCCCTTATCCGTCATCTGAATAAAATTTTGCCCAACTCCGTTTATAAGTCATCGAAGATTAATATAGCGAATAATAATGGTGGGGACATTTGATTACAAAGAGATTCTAATGCGAATCATTGATTCAAAACTTACGTAAACCGTGAGACTATCTTCCAAAAAAAGTTACATGGCCCACATTTCACACAGAATCTGTCGATCCATCATAGTTTTCCGATCTCGGTTTAAATGCGTGTAGGCACGTGAAAATGGAAAGAAAATTTCACATGAAACGCCGAGAATCACTCCGCGACCATTGCGGAGAGGACGCGTTCATTATGCCGTCATTATCGGCAGTGATAGAGTGTTCGTCGCTGCTATCCGGTCGTATCCGAGGCTACCAGTTACGATGCCCCATCGAGCCGAGGCTGGCTCGAATATACCAATTTACCTGTCTCGGAACAGCGGCTGGTTATTTAACGTTTCTCATGGTAATTAAGGTTGTAACGCGGGATAGATAATGCCGCGGCGATACACGCCTTAACACTTTAGCCGTGACGCGATGGAGCCGCGGCGGCGCGGCCGCGACGGTAAAAAACTGTGACGAAGTAGGTGGGGTGCCCGATCAATTGGACAATTAATTAACGGGATTAAGAAGTTTAGAGGCGTACGGCGGTTGTTAAGAAGCGACCGGTATCTATGACCCCCCCGGTAATGACAGATAAACGGAGCTTGTATCGAGTTCCAATTACCGAGTACCGCGGCGATGCCGAAGCATGCCGGTAATAGAGCAGTGATACACCCGGGGAACGTATAAATAAAGCATCGGGGGCCACGGTGGTACCGTCGCGACTCGGGGGCAGCGGTTTCGTCAGTTTATTTATTCCCCGGGTCAAGGGAACTCCGCTTCTTAAACTGAAAGGTCAAGAAGTCAATGAGATCCGGTTGGCCAGGTATGTAACCGAGCAAGTGGCCGAGTCTCACGGGCGTTTCGTTCGATTTTATTCCCTGTAATTTTCCATGGAATCCTCGCGTTACCTGACCATGCGCCGACAAACGTCCCCGCGTTAGGCGACCGAGCTATTTATCGCGGCGACGCGACGCCGTCCTCGTCGCGTCAACCCGGATTTTTGTCTGTCCCTCTGCTCCGTAAGAGACCTCTGCGTGCAACATTGCTCCGCGATCGAATGATCTACCGATCCTCGGATTAATCTTCGCAATATCAATCCTTCACACTCCAACGATGACTCTTACTCGCCATGCTACTCCGTTGCTTCGACTCGAACGGCGAGTCTTTCTCATCGTTTTATTAGTTTTGCGTGAACAATTTATATCAATTCCAACCTTGATTCGCTTACTGAACAGTGAACCGGTTATGCTGAGTAAATAAATAAATGTTAATAACGATGTTAGAAATTAAGCAGTCGTTTCACTACAACTTGATTCTGTAGTGCAACAGCCACGAACACGCTTTTTAAAGGGACTGTAACAGATAAATGGTAAGAGCAACAAAACAGGTAACGGAACAAAATACAGGTTCCTTGTGTATACATATATCTCTGCAATCTCAACTATCGTTGATTAAAAAAGATTGGAAGAAATGAGATGATCTAGTTGGAATCTGTATAGATGTGATAAAAATCTCCAAAATGTATTTTGCAACTATTTTTTTTTTTAATAAAGTGATGTTATAACAATATAAGAAAAATAAAGCTGGTACTCGGTGTAATCAGCATAATCTTTTCTCGGCATTAGAACGTATCGATTGATCAATAAATTTTATTTGAAAGGAAACCATGTATATAATATCTATGTACATAGGATAACATAAAATATTCGAACGAAAAAGTTATTTTCAGTTTGACCACGTGTGATCTTATTATATTTTCCTTTAAAAATTGTCACGGAGTTGATGGACGAAACGTTTGGAACATAAAGCGTTGATCCTTGCATTTAGGCAAGTTCAAATCGATTCGATGCAATTCCTACAGAAAACGAGGATGAGACAGTAACACGTTCATTTACAAATGAAAAAATCTAAGCGATTCTGTTGAAGCGAGATCTGTTGTCTAGAAGAAAACCGCGATCTATGCGTCGTCTCTCGCAGAAGAACCGATGTCCGGCGTTAGGAACCGGAATAGTAACGCGTTACATGGGAATTCCAAGGAATACCAACGAGGCAAGGAAGCCGACTGAATGCCGTACACGTAGCTGCTTTATAACCACCGGATCTTCATTGACTCCGGATGACTTGAGGATAATTCGAAATTAACCCTTGACCGACAGAGCGGATTATAATATGTACCAACAGCAAGACAGCGCACCGAGAATTTATGGAGTCTCGCGAAGACGATGCAATTTCGTGGAATTTCCTCGATCGATTTGAAACTTTTGGATTTTTAATTTATCGGTTCTTGATAGCAGACCCGAGCAAATTTTATTCGAAATGAAAGCAAGAAATAACTGTCTGAAATAGACTATTTCAATCCGATGTTCTCAGTACCGTTACCTGAAAATAAAAACAATATCGATTCATTCGAACTAACAGCAATTTCAAATAATTAATTATTTCGTTATCTTTTTATTTCATATATGCCAAGGGAAATGAATCTTCAAAATAATCATAATAATAATCTTTATGTCAATTTGCTTGAACAGTTTACTTTACATAAAATGAAGGTATTTGATTGCATCGAATCAAAATTTTTAATAATATTTTTACGTTTTGCTGATTCTAATGAAATTGAGAAGATACGATAGATTAGCGTAAAAATAAATTGTGTGTGTGTCAAATCTAGGAAAATAATTCTGTCACCCACATATTGATGACGTGGCTGTCAAACTGTTAGGAGAACTCTATTATTATAAATATAAATATGATCATTGAAATATGTAACGGATATCGTTTAACAAAATTTTTACAGCAATTTTAGAGCAAAATTCATTCCTTGAATTTATTCTTAAGAGATCTTTATCTGGTTCCATCTAATATTGTCGCGAAAGAAAATGTAATTGTTCCATTGGTGCAGAAGATGGAAGGTGGAAGATCGGAGTGTTGTTTCTCAGAAAAATATATTTTATTACATTTTATTTTTATCTTTTATCTTTCACATAAATGTCAATGAGGTTATTAATATATGCCAGACTCGCTCTGAGTTGACAATTAGATCATCATATACATATTTAGCCAACAAGAATTTCACAATTATCTCAAATAATTACTTCAAGACAACTATAAAATAAAATAACACGTTGTTTTGAAATAATGTTACTTCAAAAATGATCACACATGACAATAATTATGAAATAAGATAACATGATATTAAAAATAATATTTCTAACGATGTTATTTCGAAAATGATCCCAGGCATCCAAATTATTATGAAATAAAGTAATTTATTATTTGAAATAATAAGTCATCGTGTACAATCCTAAGTACACGGCGATCGAGCCGCAGTGCTTCGCGAGAAATATGTTTGATAGTTTAAAAATGTTTAATGTAAAATCATCGATTCGTGCACGCGGTTCTAATAATCTGATCGCTGTGGGTGTGTTGGTTCCTGTGTGGGTGTTCTCGCATTTCTAAAATGGCGGTGGTGCACACGTAGAAATTTCCCCTGTCCCATTTTCCACTGCGCTCGAGTGGCACTTGATCACCGCTCGACGACACAGCCACGGTGTTGCTTTTATTCTGGAGTCCTGTGAAATGACGGATTTCTTCGTTTTTAGCTGATCGAGAACGGATCACGGGGCAAATGGAAAAAAGAGCCCGGTCGAAGCCGATCGATCGATTCACGGTCTGATTGACGGCGCTCGAAAGCGTACAACGAAATTGCATTTGCACTATCCATGTCAGGTTGTGTACGCACCACTCAATTCGTTAGTTTATATGTATTTAATGCCGTCTCTCTCCCCGGCTTACGAATTTTCCGCTCGAACTTCAAGCTCTCCCGGGAAACGGAATTCTCCGTCCGCTTGTCTCGGGAAATTGAGTTTTCGTTCGCGTTGTACAACGAACATAATCACCGTCTCTTTACCGCGGCACATTCGACTGCTTATCTTATTAATTAACGCGGCAACCAGACCGCGACGATTTACGGAAATTCACAAGTTCGCGGACAAATTCGACGGAATTGGATCTACTTTACGAATCGTTCCAGTAGCTTCCAAATAAATACTTCGATAGCAAAGTGTTCGTTTCAATAGCTTCGAAATAAATACTTCGATAACAAGCGTCGATTTCATAGGCTTCCAAATAAATACTTCGATAACAAGCGTTGATTTCGGTAGCTGTCAAATAAATACTTCGCTAACAAGTGTTAATATCGATTTCGATTAGTGTTACCTGGATTTCGCTGTCCTTTGAAGATTTTTACGCGCTATTAAGGTGCGATGATTGGCAGCTAATTAACGCGTCGGTTTTAAAGACACCGTCTTGGATCAAAGTTCATTTTGTAGGCGTGGTTTCAAGAAACGTTACGTTCTTGAAATTTTCCGGGACAAAAGTCGCCTTTATCTTGTGAACAGGATGTCAAATTTAGAGGTCTTTTGATCTTTTCGAACAAATTCGAAATTAGCAAACCGATTACTGAAATCTCCACCAACTTTGCGCGTGCTTTTTTACAAAGGAAGTTTTTCAGATATCCAATTAATCTTGCAAAAAATAACGATTCGCGAACATCCTCTGTTAACCAACGACGAGCATCAGTCGACCGGAAAATGTGATATTCGTTAGAAAAACGGAGTCAAAGTCCGCTATGAATAGCCTCGACGTTCGTGCGAGTAGAATACATAAATGGAATAAAAAAGGGAAGCTTGGGTCTCGATCCTAATGGTGGATGTTGAACATTTTTTTTCTTTATCTATTCTTTCGCTGGTACACCGATGAAGGTGTATGAATGTACGTACGGACAAAAATATATTTATCTTCTTACTTATTATACATTATCATTAAACATTCTTATGTTTATACCGCATTATACAGTTACTTCATACACGTGCTAATATGCACGTTAATGCATTTCTAATGTTTCTATCCGACGTAGGAAAACTAAAGCAATATAATATTTCTCATTTTTCAAATTTCTCAGTTTTCTTTTATCTGCGTAATAATCATAAAATCTTGCTTTCCCTTAAAGCCATTTTCGGAGCTACTTACAACATACGGCAGACTTTGACTCCGTTTTTCGAACGACTATCAAATTTTTCAGGCGAATGACACTCGTATTAATTGGGAAGAGGTAACTTCTAATCGTTAGCGTTCCAAAACTAACTGGACATCTACGAAGCCTCCCTTATTAGATAAAAATATATATATATATATATATACACTCGTATCGAAATCAACATCGATGAGCTTGAAAACTCCTACGAAAATGACCTCGAAGAAAGCTACTTTTCGCATCGTATTCGTCTCTTGGTACCAGTCAAATACCATAGAAGAAAACTTTTTGTAACGTCGCTATTGGAGGAGATAGGTGGAAACGTTTAGATCAACCACCCTGTATATGAAAAATTTCGATGCAAGAGGTTGCATAGCTTGTTCGTAAGAAAAAAGGTATGAAAAAGCTCCTAGCCTATAATAACCCCATAAACTGCCCCTAATTTCGTGCGCACCGTGTCGTACTGTAGCACGCGATTTCGAGCGAAGTTTCAGCAATGTGTCGCTCGCAGAAACGATCGATTTCGCGGACGAGATCGCGTTTCGTGGAACTGGCGATCGATGCTCGCGAAACCGGAAGTCCTCGTTTGCTCGTTAGAAAGTCTCGTCGAGCGTCGCTTGCTTTCGTTCGCCGCGAGAACACCTCGGGGCGATCGGTTCATAATTTATGCGGTTCTCCGCGCAACACGCGCCCCTTCTAGGCAATCGGAATAGTCGATTAACTCGTCGATGCTCGAAAAAGATTTATGCAAACAGCCGGCGGATTACGGTTTATTTCAAACGCCCGCGATGCGTCGCGTTTCGTCGTGTTGCGTCTGGTCACGGTTAAAAACGTTGCGCCGATAGTCGGCCCCGAGGAATGCCGTAGTTATTTTCGATCCAGTTCCAATCCAGTTCCTCGTTACGTATCGGACGCGATACGATTGCAAATTGTATCGGGTCGCAGTCAATGAAACGTCACCGGCTATTTACATAATGTGATTTATAGTCACGACGAGCCCGGCCGTACCCTTTTATCGATTTTCAACCAAGTTCGGCTATCGTGCCGGCATTCTTGGCAGAGATGCTGCCCTCGCGGCCCTTTCGACCGTCTCTGCGATACACTGTGGCACCGGTTCTTCCAACAATCGGCCAATAAATCAGATTTTTTCCCGTCAACCTGTAATCCTAGATCGAGACACACGAGACACGATTATTTCTCCGTTTTGACGCGTCCGTAAGCACGGCGAAGAAATCGTTTCGTAAAAGTCTTTTAACGCCAAACCAAACACCAAAATGGTTTCCGATGTTCCCTTATTATTACAATTACTGATGCTATAAAAATCATTCTATGAGATAGTTTTAGATGATCGTCTTCATTCAAGCATACGTTATCATAAAAATTTGATCGAAACTTAAATAAACTTAATCTTGTCGTTGTACAATACAAACGACAACTGTTCGAAAATTATACCGAATGACTTGAATTCTTTTTTTTAAATGTCAGGCCGAGTAGTTTACCGGACGATGAATAGAACAATTTTTGTAAAAATTACAATTGTTTGAGAAGTCAAAGAAAATCAAAAATAATGTTCTTCAACCTTTTTTGTCTGAACTTACGATGGAAATTTTAACAATGCGATTTGTTATGATCAGACTGTAGATCTTTAGGCAAGATAAAAATCGTGCGCATCGATTGCATGAAATAGAATATTTATTTATAAATACTTAAATAATAAATAATAGATAAATGGATAATATTTAATTATCTAAATAATAAAATTAGATAATAAATACTAAATATTCATAAATACTTTTAATATGTCTGCTGCTTCGAATAACGTCTACACATTTTTGTGATAAATGCATAAAATCCGCAATCCCAGTTACGAGCTGCGAGCAATTAAAGATAACGAAAATTACAGTTTCTCACGACTTTCGACCAATATCTGTAAGAAACCATGGCGCATAAAAATATTAATACAAAATGCATACATTCAATTATCGTTATAGGCACAGATAAAAAAAGTTGAAAAAAACACGCTTCTTTAATCTTTTTTGTCATTCCAACCAACTGCAATTGTTGCAAAAATTATTTCATTCATTGTCTAGTAAACCAGTCGGTCCGATGTTTCAAAAGAAGTTAAGTTTTGGAAAAGTCATTTCATTTTAAGAGGTGTCTAAATGTAAACGTCACTCAATGTACAGTAAATTCTCCCCAATTGTCCTTCAGCTTGTAAACGAAAAAGGTCAATTTGGGAGGAGGGAAAACGATTATTCGAGCCTTGTGTCTCGTTTTTATAGTCTCCGATTGTCGACAACTGTATAAACGAGCCATGAAGCTCGAATAATCGTATCTTCTCTTCGCAAAATCGCCCATTTTTGTTTATAAGCTGAAGGAAAATTCGGGAGAATTTACTGTATAATGATTGTTAAAAGAAATGCATTACGAAACAGGATCAGCGCGCGCCCAGATTGAATTTCGTTCGCCGATTGTTTTATACGGAAAGCAGCAGATAATCCGAATGTTGAAACGAACAGCTGCACCTAAGAGGAAAGATATTTTGTTTGACGATTTTACGAGACGCAACAGCGCTTGCGATAACTACGTTTTGATGAGACGAAACGAGGTTTCGGTTTTTCTGTTGGCCGAGGCGGACGGCGCGACGGGACGGGAAGAGGAACGCGAGCGCGATGGCTGCAGACGCATTCGTCAACAGCTGACTTCAGTGCTCGTCGCGATTATCTCATGCATTATGAATGATTCATGAACAATCGCGGTGTTGGCTACGTGGCCTGCTTTTGTAAAAATCACAGATTTTCCTTGGTACCGTTTCCAAGAACGATATTCTCGACGCGTCCCGTGGAAGCCAGCGTGAACCGTTTCGAAACGAACGGACACGCGCCATCCGACCATGATAGATTCACGAAATTTTCATGGGATAGATACACTTACATGACACCTTGTGTACAATTTTCTACTCGTAGACGACCTCTATAAAGTCTCGTATACAAATCACGATTTTCTACGTTAACCGATAACGCTAATAATGCTGATAATCGATTGATAATTTTTGTTCTAGAAAATCTGTGTTAACTCCGGTGTAAACGGTATTCGTACATCCTTTAAAACGGGGCTAGAATGTTGTTTAGAAAAGATAGAAGAGTGGATTAGAATCATAGTGTAATGATTGAGAATTTACATTATCGAAAATTTTGTAGTTGCCGATTGTCGACGATTATAAAAAAAAAAACGAGATGCGAGGCTCAAGACATCGTATCACCTCTTCCCAAATTGTCCATTTTTGTTTACAAGCTTGAAGGAAACTTACGGAGAATTTACTGTATCTCCATGAGATATGAAATTCGACGAGTCAGCGCAAATAGAAAATGAAATGACGTTTATAGGGATTGCGAAACAAACACAGATGTAACCTCAGGTGTTCAGGATCATTATCTCCGTTTCAATATCTCCGAGCAGAGCAACAAAATCCCTTTGTTACCGGACGATAATCAGTTTTTCGAACAAATAACAAATGATTCGCATTACGTAAGTTTT